CAGGCCAAGCAGGCCCGGCCCCTGCCGAACGGAGTTGCCGGCGCAGCGAAGCGAAGCTGGCAACTTCGTTTGGCGGAAGGGCGGGCCTGCTTGTTAGATTTTCAACCGTGTTCCAGGTTGCGCATTTTGACAGGCGATACCTCTATCGAAAGGGCATGAGGTACCCTTTAAGTCTGCGAAGAAGAAATCGCAACTTTTGCGGACTTTCAACGCCGAGCGCAAGTGACGCGGAACGAGACACTCAGGCCCCTGTCGTTGACGGGGCGACGGTGGTGACCAATTATTGCACTTGCTGGATGTTAAGTATAACCCCCAAGGTCTCAGCTTAGACCATGGAGGAATATGTACTTCCTCCGTGGCTTAGACCCTCGTCGACACCTCCGGTGGCGCGCAGCCCGCACAGCGTTCCCAACAAGAAGCGAGCCTTTTCCACGCGCTCTCTGAGGGCGTTTCGAAAATCGAGTGGCGCGACCCCTAAACGTTGTCGCACGGACCTCGGGCAACGTCAGGAAATCATCGTTTAAAGTCCTCTATCATTTACACTCAAAATCTTTAACAAAGAATTTGTTCCTAGAGTGCAAAGAATTCTGTGCAACCGTAATATACAGGAAATTTTCTTGGATTACAAGACGTTTCCTTGTATTTCACAAAAGTTTTCTTTGTATTATAATGACTTTTCTTTGTATTAGAAAGAAAATTTGGCTTTGTATGACGGTCGCACATAATTCTTTGTAATACAAGAATTTTCTTTGTAAAAATTTAAGAGTGTTTCATCCGAACCTCGAAAACCTTTTACCCCGTCGGACAGGATACTCTTGGTTCTCATAAAAGCACACTGAGTGTATGCGAGTTGTTCGCTGATTGTCGCAATCCCAGCTACAATATTATTGCGATAAAGAACGCGAAAGAACGCAAGAATAACGCGAAGAGAACTCGGGCATATGAGCGAATATTACGGCTCTCGCCGCGGCGTAGTCTATCCATTTCGGCGTCCTTCTTGGGCGCTGTGGCATCGGAGGTGGGGTGTGACTCGCCCCCCTGTCGCGGAGCCGGGGGGGGGG